CTGCGATTGGAGGGTGATGGGGGTCAACGCCTGAGGGCTCCCAGTATGTGAGAGGGGGCAGGCTGGGCTGAGGGACACTCCCCCCCCACACACACACACCAAGTGCACGAATTTCGTGCACCGGGCCCCTAGTATATGTATAAAATGAACAGATAAAAATATCAGTCAGAACTTATACCAAGTAGTTTTTAGTATATATCTTCAGAGTACTTATAAAATTTTGTTTAATAAAATTACTGGAAAGTATTTTATTTCATGGTATGCTTTTAAAGGAAAAAAGTCTATACTAATTATATAACAGTTACATAGTAATTAACCAGGCATTTTATAGTTGCTGAGCTGTCATGATGTCATATTTTAAATGAAAAACTAAAATAACTCATTATTATATCAAACACAGGACCCTAAATCTGTCACATTAAGTACAAATATTAAGTATAAGTAGAAATATTACAAAATAATCAAGCTGGAAACACAGTTTCCAATTGATTACTTCGATTATAATTCTAGTAAGCAGAGTGCTTAATATACAAATAATAGTGTGAATAAAAGTGCTAAATTGAGTGTTGTAAATATTCAATAAAAGTTTATTGAATGAGCCCTAACCTGTTTGGCTCAGTGGATAGAGTGTTGGCTCTGGGGCTGAAGGGTCCCCAGTGCGATTCGTCAAGGGAACATACCTTAGTTGCAGGCTCCACCCGATCCTGGTTGGGGCCATGCAGGAGGCAATCAATCGACATGTCTCTCACGTCGATGTTTCTCTCTCTGTCTCTCCCCCTCCCTTCCACTGTCTCTAAAAATCAATGGAAAAATATCCTCGGGTGATGATTAACAACAACAAAAGTTTATTGAATGAATTTCAAAATCATGAAGTTGAAATGCAAAATCAAAGAGAGAAAATAAAACTAGCATATTAAGCTGCTTATGAAACTGAGTCAAAGATCTTTCATTTCTGGTAATAAATATACTTTCTTTGAAACACACTTTCCTTCAGAAAATGATCAAACTTTTCATAGAATTGGCCTGAGGCTCTCCTGAGAGCTTTCTGTATTTTTAAACTTCTTTCCCAAGGACCACAGAAGAGTGTAAACCAGAAGACTTTCTCAGTTGTTAATGTCTCCACCCAAAAGCTAACCTCTCCTGCTAAGAAGGAAAAGGAACTGAAAAATAATGATGATGGAGATAGATATTATCTGAACATATTCTTTCGGAAACCATGAGACAAAGAATCATGCATAGGCTTCAATTCTTTAGGATAAAATTATAGTAAAAAACCCAAGGGTTTAATTTAAAATATATTACCCTTCATTTCTAAATAAATATACGTCTGAAGCAAACTTAAGCCATGAAACAAATAAGTTAAATAAAAGATTAAATAAAAGCACTGATCCAAATTCATGCTCTGGTATGGTGTGATTCATTGCATTCCAAAAGTCAGGATGTAGACCTGATTCTATTAGCTTCTTTGGCACAGTCACCTGTATTGAATGTTCTGAATAACACTATTAAAAGATAATTCAGAAAAGTAATCTAATCCCTATTCCCAAAGAATTTCCCATTGATAATACTATTTCTTAGAAATTTGAGGGGGAAAAGTATAGGTTCAGGTATAATGTAAGTGGCATGCATAATAAATTATAGCTTCCTTTCTACCTCAGAATTTCAAATATTTAAAGAAAAAAAACAGCAAATATGTTAAGGGGAGAAAACAACAATCCTGTATGTGTGAAGACATGGATATTAATGGTATAAAAGAAATGATCTGGTCAATATATGTACATTAATTTTTTTAGGCTTCCAGGCTTCTAATTGTCAACAGTTAAAAGCATATAGTTTCTACCCTTGCCGGTTTGGCTCAGTGGATAGAGCATCAGCCTGTAGACTGAGGATCCGGGTATGATTCCTGTCAAGGGCACATGCCCGAGTTGCAGGCTGATCCCCAGTAGGGGGCATGCAGGAGGCAGCTGATCAATGATTCTCTCTCATCATTGATGTTTCTCTCCCCTGCTCCCCCTTCCTTTCTGAAATCAATAATAATATGTTAAAACACCACACACACACACACACACACACACACACACACACACAAACCCACCATATAGTTTCCAAGCCCATTAAGAGGCAATAGAATAAAAAGATTTTATATTAGCCCTAACCGGTTTGGCTTAGTGGATAGAGGCTGACCGGTTTGGCTCAGTGGATAGAGTGTCGGCCTGCAGACTGAAGGGTCCCAGGTTGGATTCCGGTCAAGGGCATGTACCTTGGTTGCGGGCACATCCCCAGTAGGGGGTGTGCAGGAGTCAGCTGATCAATGTTTCTCTCTCATTGATGTTTCTAACTCTCTAACCCTCTCCCTTCCTCTCTGTAAAAAATCAATAAAATAAAGATTTTATATTTAGAAATACAAAAGCACATGCCTACTGATGAATTACTACTATAATTAAATTGCATTAGTTATTAAAAATCATTCAGGTAATATTTTCAAACTGATGTTTTATCAACAAAGATCTTATTGTGCTCTTGTAACATTTTCACAAAAATAACCATGTATATATAGCTAGGTTCAGTTTCAAAAATCTAGTATTTCGCAATATATTATTGCCAGAATTACTCCAATAAATCATTATATTTCTCTTCAAATAATATTTAAAGCTAAATGTAGATATGTACCAACTCTTCTAACCAGGCACTTGAAAACATGAAATCATTAAAGTCGCTTTTACATTAATTTTTAAAAATTTCATTCAACAAAACCAACCAAACAAAAAAATGCTTTTAATACTGCATAACAGAATTCAGCACAAACTTTCAGATAAATATATTTTTAATTGCCCTGTGCCATGTGCTCTATCCAAAACTGTGAAGGGAGACATTGGCAAGGTACAGTTAAAGGGAAGAATCTCAGAAAAATGTTAATTGAATTTCATTTTCACTATAGGAACACCCATGGGCATAAGTAACCAAGCATCTGATTCCTCACTAAAAAAAAAAAAAGAGAGAGAGAAAAGAAAACAATGCCTGAAATCATTTATATTTGTATTTCAAAAATTTGGCTTAATAGGTCTTTTAAAATTTTAGGAAAAAAGATTATGCTATCTAGTTCTGGTGATACATTATTTTTGTCACTGCTGTTAATTAGGTCTAGCACATCCTGTGTGTCTGTCACTGTCAATCTAATACTTCTGAATTGTTCTGCTAAGAAGATCTTTTGGAAATAAAAAAATGTTCCTAATATTTAAGTCAATAAAAAGGGAAACAAATTTTTAAAAAACTAGAAAAAAAATGGAAGTTTTTTTTAAAGCTAAAGTTGAAAGATTTTTTAAATACAAAAGGTGGATACTTACCTTGTTAAAAAATCATTAAATTTTTTTAAAAATGTAATATAGTTAAATGACAAAGTTCTTTATAGTTTAAATAATTGTACCACGGGGAGTGCAAATCAATCACACCAACCTGCTTGATCTTTCAATAAGAAGTAGCAAGCAAATCGTAGACAGGAAGCATATACACAGAGATGAAGAGGAAAAAAAGAAAAACATTATTTCTTATGTAAAACAAAGAAAAATGTATAATAGCATTTATTTATAGTATAAGTATAGAAAAAATCAAATCACTATCAAAACTGAAAGAGCAGTTTTATGTAAAAAGTAAAGCATTTTCAACACAATCAGAGATGTAATTTAAGAAAAGATAATAGGAAGATTAATTTTGTCTAATATTACAATTCAATTCAATGTCAAGAGCTCACAGACTCCCAAACTCCTGCAAATATAACAGTTCAGCACCATGTGGGTATAATAACAGTAGACATGGAATTGGGAAACTGCTAAGACCTGAGAAGTATTCTAAAAGAGCAAAGCAGAAAATTAAGCCAATTTAATAAGTTAAAAGCAGCAAAATTCACACTGTCCATTTTCAAAATTTCCCAATTCAATGTTCTTCCAATGTAAGGAACTGTTACAGGTGTGCTTCCCTTTAAGAAAATTCAACCCCAAATTAGATGATAGCAATTTGCAATAATGATTTAATTAACAAAAGGACTTAATGAAGAATTCTTTTAAAAAGCAAGATCTCTCTCAATACATTTGATTTCCCAACTTGATTTAAGGGCAATTTTTTCAGGAAAAGAAACATATATACCAAAAACATTTATTACATAAAGTGAAGTACACCTGTAAATAACAAACTTGCATTCAATCTATTAGTGGCCCATTAAGGATAATTACAATGATTCTATAGAAGTAAATAATCAATTGATGATTCAAGCAAAGAACACCTAAATAAAAAGGCCATTCATATTTTTTAAAGGGAAAGTACATACAAGTTAAACATAGCAATCATGCTGGGACAACCATCTTTGTACTTCATCAGCACACCGACATCACAAAAAAAGAACTTAATGTTATGTGCCAGGTGCACAAACCGCTTGAACTGAACAAAGTACAACTCATTTCATAATAGACTTTCATATAACCAGTCTTTAAGGATTAAGGTAAATTTTAAAACAGAAAATTAATGCCTCCCACTCAGATATTTTCCTGTATTTCAGAGTTTATAATACAAAATAATACCTCTATATGGTTTCTAAAGCAATGTCATGTATTTTATGTTATCCTCTGAAATTAACTGTTTTGGGCAAAATTTAAGAATTGTCAATAGAGAATACAATTCCTAATATTCTTGGAATTCTTTCTTTCGAAAGCTCAAGGCATAAGAACAATAATCAAACATTTTTGCTATTGGTTTCTAAAGGTAAGTATATAGATAATGCTTTAAAAGACAGTAAGCTGAAAGCTAGTACAAGAAAGCATCAATTCCCTTTTCTTCTGAAAATGAAATATAAATAATTAAGGTTTAAGAAAAAGTCTTTAGGTTTGAAATAAATCAACAGATGATGCATAAACAATTTCTTGTGGATTCGATTTCTATAATCATACATTAGAAAATTTCTTAAAATCAGGTAATTTAGATATAAATGGCCATTTGATATAAAATACTAGTACTATTCAATTTATCTTCACTTGCTTCGAATTTTACTTTATATTTATTTATTTGGGCGCTTTCACTCTTAAGCTACCCTAAGATTAAAACACCAAAGCCTAAAACCTTTATAAACTGTAAGACATGTTATAATTGGCACTGTATTTCATCCTGAGTTTTAGAAAGTCAGGATTTGTTACTACATGTCCATTATGCTGAAAAGGATTAGAAATTTGTCATGAAACCATGAAACATGAAAAGGAACCATAAGAAGTATTCTTTTATACAGCTTACTAGCTCTCTTTACATTATCTCAATTGCAAAAGCATGAGTCTCTCTTCCATTGTCTCAAACATAAATTTAAGTGTATGTTTTAACAATTACAGGTTACTGGAAGCAATGAAGGGGGAGGTTATCACATGCTTTGTTTACTGGGAAGTCCAACATGTATTCTTTAGGTCATGACAGGGAGCAGTGCAGCATTCCTCAAATGAAGCCCACGGGTTATGAAAAAGCCAAAGCTCCGTTAGAGAACTTAAGAGCTACCACTCACTAGGCAAGAACTTATCCAGAGGTTTCTCTATGACAGAACATGTGGAGTCTGAACTACTGCTGCTGCTACTGCCTGGAAGACAAAGAAATGAGCCCAACGGGAACCAAAGAAAAAGGAAACAAGAAAAGGAATACATACACAGAAAAATTCAGTTCCAGAGAGAGAATTGTAAAAGACAATCAAGCTTTGTATTAAAGAACCAAAACTTACTTTCCCTCAAAACCAGTCTTGGGAGTCTAGCCAATATGCTCTACTATCAAAGCCATGCAGAATTAGAAACTGTATTCCTTTAAGCATCTACTGTGGGCAAACCCCACTATTCACCTAAAACACAGTAATTCAGAGTGTTGGAATGACAAGAATAAAAAAATCAGTAAGTCATTTGGTGACATTTAAGTTTATTTAAACTATTTAGGTTGATAAGTTAAAGGAACTGAGTTTTAAGATTTGAAGTCATGCATAATTAAACTTATAAAATGATAAATTGTCTTACATTATAGACAGGTTGGTATGTCTCCAATTTCACTCATTCTCCTTTAAAACATCACACTATTAGATATAGATATAATTATGTATGTTTTAAGGTTTCATGGTCAAACTTTAAAAAGCTCACTGAACATTTTAAAATTTCTAAGCCTGAAAGGAAGGTATTTTACTATTAAATATTTTTTGCTATTTAAAATTTTATTTTTAATAAATCTATTATCTGCTTTAGCTTTGAATAATTTATTTTGTGAAAAACAGGTATGGCCTGGTCAGTGGGGCTCAGTTGTTTGAGCCCTGTCTTGTGCACCAAAAGGTCCTGGTTCAATTCCCTGTCAGGGTACATGCCCAGGTTGCAGGTTCAATTACTGGTCGGGAGATGTTAGGGAGGCAAGGGATTCACATTTCTGTCTCACACAGATGTTTCTCTGTTTCTTTCTTCCTCTCTCTCCCTCTCTCTCTCTCTCTCTCTCTCAAATCAATAAATAAGAAATGGGTATGCATAACAAAAGTGATTCTCTAAGTCAGGGTTTGGCAAACATTTTCTGTAAAGGTACAGATAATAAGTGTATAGATTTTGAGAGCCATACAGTCCCATGTGAAAGCAGCCAGTCATAGACAACATATAAACAAATAAGCATGGCTGTTAATAAAATTTCATTTACAAAAAAAACATGTGGTAGGCTGAATTTGGCCAGCAGACTATATTTTGCCAACTCCTGCTCTAAATCATGCTTTTCCTGTCTTTTGAAGTTATAAAATCTTTATCATTTGTGAATTTTGGAGTCCTGATCAAGCAGTAACGGGTTTATTTTCAGCAAGATAATTTTTTTTCAATGTTAAGTTTACTTTAATGACCCCCATCTACCTAAAGGGTGGGTGCAGGCAGCTAGGCAATGGCAAAAGATGTGCACTTGAACATCTTGCCCTGATTACAATAATTTCAAGCAAAACATGCACCAGCTTGAAAACAATGATCCATGTTAATGGAAGAGAGTTCCAAAATAAATAAACATTTACAGTAAAAATTTTTTAATGTAGGCCATTTAACATGTCTCTCTCTTTTGCATGTTATCCATATCTTTATCACAATAAACAGTGTTAATTTATACTTGGCAATAAATGGCACATAACAGGGTGAGAATGAAAGTACATTTTATAAAGAAAAAATTAAATTGAAAAATTAGAATCCTTATACAAATTTATCAAAAAATTCAACGACTTCGAAAGCCTAATTTAATTATGCTTGAGAAAAACTCCACATTATCCTAAGTTCCTAAAGAGTTTAGGTTCATAACGTACATAAAAGTCCCCACATAAAATTGAAACCTTACATGAAATTATAAAATAGTATATCCATTATCACTGACTTACAATTCTAAATTTTAAAATAAAAACAGAACATATGGTATTCTAATTCAGCTATAAACAGAGAAGTGCAGGAGGAAAAATAATACAGAAAATAATAATAAAAAGTTAACCAGGTATATGTCATACTTCCTGTTTGACTTGCTACCGTAACTAAAAATGGCAAAATAAAAGGCATGCACTCAACTTCCTTGAGAATGTTAAGCAATCATTAAGTAGCAATCTAAGGTAATTTCTAAAACTAAAAAGAACTTACCCCTTCTTTTTTTCCTTTTCTCTCCATCTTCTCCAACCTCACCCTCTTCATCATCATCCTCTTCTGACCCACTGATATCAGAGCCTGATATTTCTTCCCCTTGAATACAAATTTATTACAATGATTTTTATTCCGCACCAGGTCACTGGCTATATAGAAAATCCCTACATCACTTATTCCATTAAGTTTTTGTTGCTCTAAACAAACCTTGCATTAAAATTCCTAAACAGCATATCAGATATGCTAACTTCAGAAATTGATATGATATACACACAGACTTTATTTTTAAATTTCCTAAAGAGAAGTTAAATTCTTATCCATTTAAATAATAAAGTACAGTTCTAAATATATATAAAATTACATGTTACAATTATTTCGGTCTTTTAAAAATGTGATCACTTTGAGGGAGCATTTTCTTTTCAGTTTTCTGTTTAAGATTTTAAATAATTCACTCAACCTGCATATTTCTTAAGAGCCATAACTGTCATCTAACATAGTGATTCCACTTTTAGAACTACATCACAATAAATATTTCAAAAGGCCTTATTTGTACAAAGATTTTGTTAACTTAAAAAAACCCAAAAATCAAATAAAAGGGAATAATCAAACTAATATTAATGAAGGTCAGTACTATATTACAGTCAAAATAGTTATTTAAAAATACCATTATCCATATATGAAATGTCTAAGAAAACAAAAGTAATTGGAAGAAAAAGTAAAATATACACTAATCACAATAATATAATACTTGAACCTGTAAATAAAGAATGGAAAGAGATCACAGTGTCTTCGAAAAAGGAATTCATTGAAAAATATTTTGGCCCTAGCTGGTTTGGCTCAGTGGATAGAGCGTCGGCCTGGGGACTGAAGGGTCCCAGGTTCTATTCCGGACAAGGGTTTGTACCTTGGTTGCAGGCACATCCCCAGTAGGGGATGTGCAGGAGGCAGCTGATCGATGCTTCTCTCTCATTGATGTTACTAACTCCCTATCCCTCTCCCTTCCTCTCTGTAAAAAAATCAATAAAATATGTATTTTTTATAAAAATGTTTTGTTCTTTAGGCCCAGAAACAATGAAACCTCAGTAGCAATGAACACACCTACTGCTGAAATTTTGGTTTCTCCAATGAAAGGAACCAGGGAGAAATAGCTGATTTTTAGGCTGGGATAGAGAAAATACAAAATGAGCCCAAAACACCTGTGGTGCCAGAAAATAAGGAAGTGCTAAGTAAACAAAAAAACTAATGGGAGCATACTGAAAGGATATAGGAACAACTCTGTAGGAGTTCCTAATGGCCAAAGCTGGAACAATTTGAGCAATAAGTTATATATTATTACTGTATCATAAATCACAAATATCCATACTGACATCCTATATAATAAAGAGGTAATATGCAAATGGTCATTATGCCGTGACGCATAATGACCAATCAGCAGGAGGGTGGGGCAGTGAGCTACAAGCAGCGGAGAGCTACAGGAGGGCGATGCAGCAGGCGGAGAGCAGCAGTGGGCAGGGCAGCCAGCTGAGGCAAGCAGCAGCGAGCTACTCTTGCACGGATTTGTGCACAGGGCCACTAGCATATAAATAACTGAATAAATAGTGAAGGAGAAGGGAGCGCTCTTCCATACAACAGAATTCCAAACACTAAACATCAGAAGAAATGATGGAAAGAGAGTCACCAATGACCAAATGCCACAGAGTTACTGTTTCAGGCAAGAACCCTTGATGGATGCTAAAATCAGTGGGAGAAAGTGTAAGAATCAGGAGCTTCGTATAGTCTCAAAGTGGATCCCCACAGATGCATATCTACACTAATAAAAGAGAAAAATGGTAATTGGCGTACAACGCTACCCTTTTCATTGGCTAATCAGGGCTATATGCAAATTAACTGCCAACTAAGATTAGCAGTTAACTGCCAACAAGATGGTGGTTAATTTGCATATGTAGGCACAATGCAGAGAGGCAAAAGGGAAAGCAGGAAGAAGCCCCCTGACACTGACAGTGATGGGAAATCCAGGGGGGAGCTAAGAGCGGGGGGCTGCCTTTGCCCTGCCCCCCCAGCCATGATTGGAGAATCAGGTGCCTTTTCCACCCTGGCCAGTGATAGCAGGAAGTAGGGGTTGAGCCAGTGATGGGAGCTGGGCACGGTCGAAGCTGGCAGTCCCAGGAGCTAGGGGTCCCTTGCCTGGGCCTAAAGCGAAGCCCACAATCACGGGGCCGCTGCAGCTTCGGGTCCCCCC